AATTAAAATAGTAATAAGAAAATAAATATACCAGCTCGTCAGAGATATTTTTTAAAACAAATATATATCAGTTAATTGAAAAGGATGAGTTAAATTACTTTACTTGATACAGCTAACTCTTTGTTGACGGGGACAATGAAAGTTAAAAAGACACTCGTAACTTCATTTTAAGCAGGGCATTAAAAATTATGCATAACAGCAGAAAAACACAGAAAGCTTCGTCAAGATTGGCCGAATGCATATATTTGTGGGATATATTTTATATCATTAAGAATAATAAGAACACTTAGTTAATTTTTTAACTGTAGACGTCTAAAAGACATCTAAAAAAAACATTGGATCATTTAAATATTAAAGATAGAACATAAGATTTATAGTAGAGCAACAAGTATAATATAATCTACCATTTCTATATGTGTTGGTTGAAAATAAAAATGGGGTTTTAAAATGCGAAAAATACCAATATTCAGAAATTTTATAAAATAAATTTAATTAGGATTTTAGTATATAGAATTTTATATATAAATAGTTGTTTACTAGTTTTTTGGAATAAAAAGTTCTTGATAAAAAATGAGTTTCCGCGGAAAATTGTAGATAAATTTGTTAAGGATTATTTGAACAATCAACATATGTCCCCAGACATAAAATCAACAGCAAAGAAACAGAAATAGTATATTTCTTTGTTATTTACGAGACCATAATCTTTTGAAACTAAAAAAAAATCTTATTCAAATTATTATATCCACAATTAGATTAAAGTAGATATTGCAATCATTAAAGTGAAACATAAAATACCAACAGTGAAACATAAAATACCAACAGGGAAATATAAAATACCAACAGTGAAACATAAAATACCAACAGTGAAACATAAAATACCAATAGGGAAATACAAAATACCAACAGGGAAATATAAAATACCAACAGTGAAACATAACATACCAACAGTGAAACATAAAATACCAACAGGGAAATATAAAATACCAACAGGGAAATATAAAATACCAACAGTGAAACAAAACATACCAACAGGGAAACATAAAATGCCAACAGTGAAACATAAAATACCAACAGTGAAACATAAAATACCAACAGTGTAGCATAAAATACCAACATTGCAGAACTTTAACCTTGTTTATCAATTTAGATAACCGATATCTAATTCTATGCATATAGCTTTTACAATTAGACTTCAGAATCCAGAATTCTAGAACAATCTGCTTTAAGTCTAAATATTATTATTTTGCGAATTTCGTTTCCTTATTCATTTCCCCATTTTATAGCTTTTTACATTACTTTTACTTTGAATACAAAATTAGCATTATGTATATGTTATATTAGATATGTTGTTGAATTGAATTAATACGAGACTTTTGTGAATCTCTAGAAATAAAAAGAAAAGTGATGATTAACTAGCTCAAGTATTATACTTAACACTTCATGTTAAAATGTTTCTTGGAGAGATTTCAAAGATCTTGCTTTCAGCAAACTAATGCTTAAATTTAGTACAGACGTGATAGTAACGCGCCGTAAGTGTTACTTCAAGAGGCTGTCGTATATTTTTATGAATATCATAAAATTGTAGCACAAGTGAAAGCCGAGTTGGAGAGCAAGAAACTAAATATTATAGAAATTTATTACCTCCAACTCTCAGAAAAGTGAAGTAGGGTTCTAGTGAGTACGTAGGGAATCAGTTGGTTCTAAGTACAGTCCTTGGTGGAGTTAAACCTTTCCATTTAATGTAGAATTATTTTTTTTGTCTTATAAGTGCCGCAGAAAGAATAGGAAGGAATTCATCATGAGATAACGTTTCTTGTTTTACTGTTATATGTCCATTTTTTTCTGAGAAGACATCTGCCTAAAAATAGCAGTCCTTGGATCATTAAACAACTTAATGAATTCTTTACGTTTTCGTTTATATAAAGGTATTACGAAAACATTTATAAATAAATCAACTATATATTTCATTTCCAGAAGAATATATAAACTACCAAAATATTTGTTGAGACTAATAAAAAAAAACACCCCGATTGCTTTGAAGGATGTTGAAAACAATTTTCTCTGCAATAAGAAAATGCCGAACTAATTACAGCCATGTTTTCGATAATATGTCGTTGCAAGGAAATTCTGCAAGATAAGAGCTATTGTAACTTATAATTGGCTAAATTAACTTACAAGGTACTTAATAAGAAGGTTAAATTTTGAAAGAATAGTTTTGTTAATTGTATCCTTAACCTGACATCTCGGACCCATAAAAAGATATCATTTTGATAACTGCCATTTATGGGAAATGTGAACAATTAATCGTGACATAAAGTATTCTTTATTTTCTTGATATCCGTATAACATGGGTATGCTACGTAATGTATATAGTTTATTACTTTATGTTAAAAGTGATAGTAGATACAGAATGAATTAATACTGACATATGTAACTGCATGATTTTGACATGACGTTAAAGACACAACTTCAACTTAATAGTTTGTCAAGTGCTGAAAATTTTAACCCAAGTATCTCTGTAATGATTTATGTAAATATATTAAAAATGCGTATGTGGATATAACATGTAACACACAAGTTTCACAAATATTACCAGAGAGTTTTGAAGAAAAGGTTTTACATATTTATCAAAACTATCGAAATATTTTACACAAAATAAATATTGGATTAAATCAACTCATACTGATTTTTAATGGTGTATATATATTTGTAGAGAATTATAATCACATTTCAAATAGTAATAAGTGGGATTATTTGATGATATCGCTTTTCTTTTACATTGTCAAGCTTCCGATTTATATCACTAACAGGTTTGGCGTGATTTTGTGGCTAGAGTGCACGGAGAATTCATGTTTCGCGTCCTTCCTTTGGGTTCGTGGGTCCGTTAGAAGAGTGACAGTCAAATCTCGCCAGTTGACATGCAGGAGTAGTCTAATAATTGACGATTAATGATTGTTGACTGGCTGCCTTTTTTTTTTGTAGCTTTGCGCGAAAATTTTGAAACAAACAAAGAAATCACGACTTTGGTTCAAATATACATGCAGTGATCTATACATAAAGGTTTATTTTCTTTTCACACGCATGTCATAATAAGTGTTTTAATAGTTATGAAACTTTAAACTGCTTTAAAAATACTCATAACTATAAATTCTGAAAAAGTAGTTAGCACACAGGATCACACACAGAAGGTGGAATGATTTTGAAAAAAGCCCAAAACTCGAGCGTTTTCGAATAGTAGGCTACTCTTCTCCTGCTTCTTTATTCTCCTGGAGAAGAAAAATAGTCTAGTATTCGAAAGCGCCCGAGTTTTGGGTATTTTTTTTTTGAAACTCATAATCATAAGATAGTCGGATACACATGTAAAAAGAAACCTTTCAGTTCTTTTTTGGGCTTTGGGGTTTTTATTATGTGGGAGAAAATAACGAGTAAATAGCCGAAAAACTATTTATTTATTTTATGTTTGCATTTATTAAATGCAAATTTTAAGATACGTCACTGTAGCTGTCGTTAGTGGGAAAGTATGCGATATATATATATATCAATGTGGAGTAATACAACATTATTATTTTCTATCTATTAAATATCTGTAGAATAGTTAAAATACAAGATAGATTAATAAAGCTAACTTCAAATAAGTCATTCATATCTTTTACTTGTAATATAAATATTCATACAATTAATATTTTGCTATTTTTAAGCAGTATAAATATTTACATTTTTTAAAAACATTTATGTCTGTCATTGTAAAAAATATATGGTAAGGTCTCTTAAATATTTCCACATTAAACTGTTGCTCAAACATTTCGACGTATAAATATATACACTACTCAAAATTATTAATGAATAATCACTGTAGCTTGTTTCATCTCGTAATAATATAAAAACGCCTAAGTTTGAAAGTAATATATATATATCTATATTATGACTATGTGCCAAATCGAATTTATATGACACAATAAAATATTAATACGCACAGCCCATTAGTAGGATGACATACTTATGAACTTACGAACTATTTTCTTTACATTTGAATCTGTTCTGAAAATGGCAATAAAGGACTTAAATTTGAAGGTCATTAATTATATACTTGCTATACGGTTATATTTATGTATATTATTTTTATTTAAGTAGGTTCAATTATTTGACATTACTAACATATACTTTTTTTTTTTGCTGGTGCATGCGTAAATACATATCCTTATATAATACCAATAATATCAGTTGCGAATACGTATTACACTGATACCAATCTGAATGCTTTATAATTATATCAATTTTGAATATGTATCAAAATGATATTAATTCTGAATACGTGTGAACATGGAATGGCGCATTCATGTTTTTGTTTAATTTTCTCATCTATTGTCGAGTTGAGTTAGTACTCACGTTAATGTTTCAAGCATATGGTAGCCGTCATTTTAAGATAAATGGTTGATTTCAAATAACTTAATCATCTAAGATAATCGATGCTCTATTATAAGTTTTGTTTTTAGTTATTTCGATATAATATACGGATTTGTTCGCTTTAATTTTACAAATAATTTGTTTATCTATTATTTTAGAATATAACGTAAAGCTAAGACAATGGAAGAGATAAGACAGAGGTACTGGGATTAGAAGTGGACAATCTCAATGGCTAGACAACTTTACGAAACAGCCTTCGACAGCAAAGTTCGAAGGGAAGTAGAAGACATTGACAAGTTAGTTCAAAGTCCAGTTTTGTCAGAAATTGGCCGAAGGAGACATAGCTCTGGGCCAAGATCCGGATCTGCACCGTCTTCCAGCAGCGGGTCTTCTTCCAATACACCTACTCATCAACCATATCTGACAGCAAGGGAGTCTCCACGTAGGGGACCCTGCCAGGCTTTGCCTCAATTTTTTCATACCGAAAAAAGAAAAGTGACTCTTGTGCGGGATAGTCCTCGTTCTTCACCTCTTCTTTCACGCAACACTCACACGGGTTCGCTACAATTATCTCGACCAGCAAAAGAAACAGAATTCGAACTAAAGATACAAGAGATTAAACATGGATGTAATTCACAATCCCTGAACACTAAGACTGGTGAAAAGGAATCTTCTTTCACAAAATACATCCCAGAAGATTTCCTAGGAACAAGCAAGATCTCCCATAGCAATCGGTGCTTAGTTTCTACTAATGACGTCAACCAGAAGGAAAAGATTTCGAACAAATTGCTATCTGGATCAAAAGGCCAAGGATTCAAACAGCTAAATACTGAAAGTAAAAAGACTAAATCATTTGAGACAGTTTCGGGTTCGTTAGATCGAAAAAACTCCAAAACGACTAAAAACAGCTCCGCTTCTAAACTGCATATTCCAAATGGTGCTTTATTAGATAATACCTACGCAGATAGACCAGCTGTTTGTTCTTCTATGATCCACGAAAAGAAGCTTATAAAAAACACTAATACGTTTCGGGATTCACCCAAGCATTCCAGTGTATCTGGACATGAAACAAATTTTTCTAAATCTTTTAATTCAAATTTCGAAAAAGGTTCTTCATCGTTAAGCTCAAAAGAGATATTAAACAACTCTCAGTTACTTAAACCTCACAAACAATTACACTTTCAAAGTGATCAAGATCATTCTAAAGATAGCTCAAAACTCGACACGAATTTACCCGAAATAGACCATCCTTCAACAACCAACAAAAATGTATCACAAAGCTGTCAACCATTGATCAGTAAATCGCAAAGCTCTACATCGTTAAAAGACCGACGCTATTTGTGGAATGAGTCAGAATTACAACTGAAATCTAAAAATCTAGATCCCGTGAACGAGAATAAAATAGCTGATGAAAGCAATCATTTTAAGCAAGGTATAAGCTGTAAAGAAGATTCTAAGGATGAAAATGAAACTAAAGATGAATCTATTTCAGTTCGTCCAGGAGGAAAGGAAGAAGAAAGTAGTAGATCTGAAAAAGTCACTGCCCCTAATGATAAACTCATCACTCGACCAAAAAGACCAGGATCCCTTTCAATTCCTAGTTTATCAGGAATGTCAATACCAATCCCAGTACGAACACAACATATTCAGTCTCCTCCTACTGCCACCACCACCACATCTTCCGACAAAGACAATACTGCTAACAAAGCATCCACATCTAAGGACTCAGGTGATTGAATACTTATTTATAACTTGTAATTGATACTGTACATACAGAGTTGAGGTATTCATACATTAGCTTGTGATTTCTAGAAGAAGAAGAAAGAAAAGATAATCTAACACTAATCAAGTTTTTGGAGAATTAAGTATATGTAGGCCTACAATCCAATACTTATAATATTTTACTGAGAAAGCATTTAAAATGCAAATAAGTTTAAAAGCTAGAAAATTTGTATAAATAATTTTAACAAACAAAATGTGTCAACATTTTAACAAACGAAACATAACTGGTAAAAAATACTTACATTAAGATTTATCATTTTGAATATGAACATAAACATGAATATCAGTTTCTTAGAATGTCACAAAACCTGTCTTCTAGAGAAGTAAATCAAAAGTTCCGAGCAACGCTATAGATCTTTGAGTAAGGAAGCACATTAAGCTAATGTAATAATAGGTAGGCAAGCAACGATTTATAAACATAAGGAAGAGTTTTATTGATAGTGGAACAAGAAAACGTTTCCTTATGCTTATAACTCGTTGTTTGTCTACCTATTATAAACACTAAAGATCGACCATTAGTCATGTTTCACACATTTTTGTTTGGATAAAACCTAAAAATGGAGATTTAACTTTTGTACAAATAAAGGGTAAAATGAATCTATGAAATGTTTACAATGTTTATTTTCTAAGCCAATTGTCATTAGAAAAAAGAGCTTTCAATTTTGTATGCATATACTAAGAAACCTGTAAGAACTTGATAAGTTTGTACATATATGTATATATGATAAACAGAAAATTTCCATTATATCAGTATATTAAATACTTTCAACCCGTTTTGTGAAATGTTTATAACTAGAATTATAGGAAATGCATTACAATGAACAAAATCAACACAACAAACACTGAGTTTAATGGCACTTTATATGAATGGTGTGCAATATATCCAGTGATATCCTTCGAACTAGTTTTTCTTTCTTCGATTGTTCCATGACTACCTATTATTGTGTGTTTCTGAAGCTTCTGCTGTGGTATAATATCCTTTGAACTAGTTTCTCTTTCTTCGATTGTTCCATGACTACCTATTATTGTGTGTTTCTGCAGCTTCTGTTGTGGTATGATATCCTTTGAACTAGTTTCTCTTTCTTCGATTGTTTCATGACTACCTATTATTGTGTGTTTCTGCAGCTTCTGTTGTGGTATGATATCCTTTGAACTAGTTTCTCTTTCTTCGATTGTTCCATGACTACCTATTATTGTGTGTTTCTGAAGCTTCTGCTGTGGTATAATATCCTTTGAACTAGTTTCTCTTTCTTCGATTGTTCCATGACTACCTATTATTGTGTGTTTCTGCAGCTTCTGTTGTGGTATGATATCCTTTGAACTAGTTTCTCTTTCTTCGATTGTTCCATGACTACCTATTATTGTGTGTTTCTGCAGCTTCTGTTGTGGTATGATATCCTTCGAACTAGTTTCTCTTTCTTCGATTGTTCCATGACTACTTCTGTTGTGGTAAGTTCCTGCGATGGACAGATAGATCAGTCTTAAACCACAAATTTTTCCCAAATATTCAACTGCTAACGGATATCTACTTCCAAGGTCCCTTTTAAGCAAACCAAAGACAGTCCATTGGAGCCACATCAAGAAACTTGACAGGTATCTGGTTGAATGGGATTGCTTTGATTACACTTTCTTCAGTCATTTTGCTCATAAAAGCAGTTGTTGATTTCGAGGTATAGCTCAAAGCTTGTGAACCATTGGCTTGTTACCTTTGTCGACTTGAAATTCATGTTTATTATCTTGTTAGCAGAGTATAAGATATGTCCAGCTTTATTGTAATGTTTATTTGGGTCAGAAGTTTCTATTTTGTAATCATAACCTTCACTTTACGGATGAGAGAGTGTTGCTTAGATCAGATTAAAGTATGGTTTCGGAACCAACTGTTGTTTGAAGCACTCTGGTGTGCAAATCGTTCCGCTTATATTGAGAATATTAAAATCTTTCTTTTTCAAAATGCTACGTTTTTTCACTCTACATAGTTTAACATTCTCGCTATAAGAACATCTTTCCTAGAAAACGGATATGACATATATATGTGTGTGTTTCTTTAGATGTCATTTTTCCGTGGTGGAATTGTACTGTCGAATTAAGCAAAACTTGGTGCGAACCAAATATATAGATACTGATCATCTCGTCCGTACCTGTGGTAACACCTCACTGTATTAGCATATACAAATTGCTCATATAAAGTGTGATTAACCTTCTATATACAATACGTCTAGTATAGTGACAATAGTCACCATAATCAAGTTAACATGATGTGGACTTCCCTATTGTTGTTATTCAGTCTGTTTAAACAGAATTCCTTTATAAGACAGGATATGTATTCGTCAACATATTCAAAGTATTTTTTGGATAGAGATGTGTGTACATGTGTTTATAAAGCGGATTGCATGTAATTAGCATATATAACGTCTATACGTTTATTTACGATTATGTACTAAAGCTAATTTTTAATGTAGTATTCATGCGCTCTTTCATAGGGTTTATAAAATCTTTGGGATTGTTTATAAGATATATTTATTTTTACATAATTAAATGAGAAAACAACTGATGATTTTGCACTTTATTTATTGATTTATTACAAAAACCAAACCATCGACACACACACATATATATATATATATATACTAAATATATATATATAAATATATATATAATCTAAAATTTGTGTGTATACTTATTTTGTAACTGACACCTAAATAAAATGTTTCTTTATATTTTTGTTCGTTTTAATATTCGTAGTCAACCAATATTTTTACAGTTCCTGTTCCTTGTTTTACACGAAACATTTACGAATAGATTCGTTTTTGATGCAACGGAAATTAACTTTCCTTAAGAATATTTGGCCACTTTACTCCATATTCCTTTGGTCCTTTGGTTAAATTAGGTAACTAATTAGTCTCTATCTTGATATTTTTTTATTTTATAAAATGTGCATCTGATAATTCCTTAATATGAAATGTAAGCTTTCCACAGTTTGCTATTTCATCACCCTAAAATTATTTAAGCTAAATTAAAAGGACCGTGTAAAGTATGCTTATTATTTTATATGCAGATTGTTTATTAACGTATTCACCACTGAACAACCTATATGGGACGAGGATTAGTCCCTGATTTTTAAAATATAAGTAATGGCTTTTTACGTAGAGTAATCCATTATCCAGGGTGCTACTGAGCTATGTCTGCTCTATGTTGTTTAAGTTCTATCTATGTATTTTCTTAGCCTGAGTCTTTCGTTTAAAAAGCATTTTGGTACAAGTCATAAGCATTTACAATTATCAATTTAAGTTTTAGCTCTAAAGTGGAATCATTTTAAGCGTTTTGTTATACGTTTAAAGCTCAAATTCGTTTACTTTTGAGCTGGCAGGTTTTCTTTCTTTATTTTAATCTTCATTTAAGCCCAGCAGATAAAATCGAAATTGTTCACTCTGTGAAGAAAGAATCAAATTATCGAAAAATAAATCTAGTTACATATAGCGTTTCTTCTTAACTTACTCAGCCTCTTTCAGTGCTTAGAAGAAAAGGATTACAATAGATTATTTCTCAGTTAGCATATTTTACAAAATATTTGATACTGGCTTATCGCTGTTGTATATGTTTTTATATTTTGTATATATAATTTATAACCGCATATAATTAGGACCGTGTAGATTTTTACACATTAATAGATCCGTGTAGCGTGTTTCTGATGTTTGAAAATTTATATTATACTACTTATTAAAGACGTTATTTGAATAAATATTTATTACATCGTACGCCTTCGAGCGTATTCAGTCAACCTCCGTCTGTTTTTAGAGTATTCGAATTATTTCCTTATTATATTACAGTTCTTGATTTTTCAATGCTTATACATGCACTTTTCTTTACTGTATTTCACAAGGGATGTAACGTTGTTTGGGAGTATTTTTCTTTTTATATATATAAGTGTATGCATGCCCATTTAATTTAGAACAGTACGTTTTATAGTAATAAATAAGGTAAACTAGATTTTGAGTGTTAGTTTGAAGTACTTTGACATTTTGCTACAGAAACAAAGGCACTTGTGGGAATATGTCTTTTACATTGAAATGTCTTTGGTCTTTATGGTTTTAAGTTGAATTATTTTTGATGAAACCAGTTTAGGCTCACGAGAGTTTAATGTTGATTTTTCAACATAATGATTAGCAAGTAAGTAGAGGAAAATTTTTACAGACGGTTGTTTGCTAAAAGTAAAAAGAAAAGACAAAATTCTAATGAACACACAGACAATGCTAAAATATAATAATTTTTAACGTAGTACCATTTCACACAAGATTTACTACACAATGTATTATCTGTGCTCTGCCCACACGGGTATCGAAACCCGGATTCTAGTCTTGTAAGTTCGCAGATTTACTATATTGCCACTGGGGGGATTCGCATAGGCGATAAAGACACAGAAATTAAAGAATACTTTACAAAATCACCAAATTATATATATATTGTTATTTCTGGAAGATGACATTTCGAGCTGGCTCTCTTCATGTCATCTTCCTTAATTAAAAATATATAAAACTTGACGGTTTTGTAACCTATTCTTTGATTTTATGGTATTTCATATAAAGTTTGTTTGTTTGTTTTGTTTGTTTTTTGAATTTCGCGCAAAGCTACACGAGGGCTATCTGCGCTAGCCGTCCCTAAT